CATCTTGATGACCAGGTTTGCTCGAGAACTGGTATCGCCTCTTGTGCGCCTCGCCTCTGCGAGCACACAAATCCCGTTCAAAAGGACAAATGTCTAACAACCAAACAAGTTTTCAATAGGAAATACCGCGATCACGTGAAGCGAAACCATTGGAAATGGGGAATTCTAGGGAACCGACCACTTCCGATTCCAATTATTTATAATTTTCCATGTGGATGTCTCCCTCATCGACGTCCCTCACCATGGGGGACATTCTAATATGCGGATTGAAATTAAGCAACTGACCTCGGCAATACTTCTAGCAATGTTCTTGAACCTTGATAAACAAATAGAGTCCCGTTTCTTCTTTACCCAAAGCGGCCTGGGTTACTCAATCCCCAGACCTAAAAAGATTTCATCCTCTCCAACTAAACAACAGATAAGCAAACGCTCATCTAACTCAAATGATCTGGGTCCACGCAAAACCAAACGTGTGACTGACCAAAACCCACGGTAAACGGCAAAAAAGGAGCCGTTTCAAAACGCAACTAAAACGATATCCCCGACTGGAGAGATTCCACTTACCTGGTATTTTTAGTCAACAGTTGGTGAAATGTGTGTACACTAACAGCTTAAGCCTTTGGTAACATGGCACTTAAACCGAAACAGAAGATGAAAGACGTCTTTCCTTAACGGATACATAGCGAAAGCAGAATATCTGGAATAGCGAAGCCGAAATAGATGTTTTCACGGCTTCAAAGAGGGAATCAAATTGAGGCCACGCCGGTTAAACAGCTATTTACTTGAACCAATCCTTTCCTATAGCCGTTTTAGTTACCTAAGATTTCATTCCCATGATAGACAAAGTTTAGGCTAAAATCCTCTGCTTGCAACGATATAGAGCATATGGAAAAGTTACATCAAAACACAGCTCGGAACTCAAGATGCCAAAATGATGGCCACTGAAAATCGCTTGTTTGGAAACCATTGCTACTGACAACGAATCTGAAATCATGCAGGTACATTCATAGCATGCATCAAACTCAACGCTCCTCAATACGCGCTTGCAACCATTACAAACACATTTCAGAGGTGTGGGATCCTCTTTTGAACGTATAGTCCAACAAACCATCAGCATTTATAGCATCTATGATGTACTGTGAAGCTTACGCAACTATTCAGAGGACCTCCGTCCGTCATCGAGGAGTAAAACTATCACTGGACTGGAATCTCCCAATCAACAATAACAAGTGTGTTGGGATGTCATTTAATGGTCACCCATCTCACCCTTTTACGATAGACGGTTCCCACACTCTACCCCAAGTGTATCAATATAAAGTTCTTAGTTTATGACTAAACAACAAACTGTCTTTCTCCTATCACAACTATCTAGCCAGCAAGGCCGCTTTTCGTGTCCTGAACCTCATAAAAAGATGTCTCCCTCGTATTCTAAAGAATGACTTTCCTCTTATTTACAGAACGTACATCTGCCCTCTCTTAGAGCACGGAAGCCAAGTTGCACACTCCGGTCTCATCCGAGATCGTGACTGTCTTGAGCGCGTCCAGAGAGCCGCTACAAAATCCGTGCTTGGATTCAGATACCTCCTCTACCCAACGCGACTTCAACAACTGGGCCTCTATCCGTTAGAAATCAGACGCATTCGGGGAGATCTATTTCTCCTCTACCATCTCTTCGACACGGGTACTGTCGAAACTTTCTTTATCATTGCTGACTCTAACCCTACCCGAGGTCATAGGAAAAACATTTTCAAGCCCCGTCTGAGAACCACTGTACGTGCCTTATTTTTACCTTCAGTGGTTATATACTTGTGGAATGCTCTTGCCGAAGAGATAGTCAGAACCCCCAGCAAGGGGGTCTTCAAAATTCATCTTAACCGTCACTAGGGTTTATCTACTCACCCCCAATAAGAGAAAACCTTTGAAAAAATAACATTTTGAAATATGCGAGAGTTCGCATTTTCCCGTTTTACTCTTCACCTCGAGAGGGGAACCCTACTAATGCTTTTCAGTACTCTCTTTTCTGGAAAAAACTGAACGAAAAGAAAACAGCTATCTTTTAAAGACCCGGGACATTTGGGCAAAATCCTCGAACTAGTGAATAACTTCCAGACTTCAAGATACCACAACCCGGGCTTCTAGAAAACTCAGGTTCCCAAGCCTGTCAATCTTCATGAATCCCGTGAAACGTATGCTTGATAAATGTTAGTCATATTTCTAAACGTGTGTTGTGATGATATTTTACGCACGTGCATGTAGAAATGTATCTATTTTGGATGTGTATTGCTCTGCAACGCAAGCAATTAATTAATCCACTCTTTTTCCTCTTCAAGTTTCCCTTCCGATATATGAATCTTCATCTCCGCCTCATCCAGTGAGGGTGTAGTTTTGTCATCATTTTTGCAACGGACACTGTCTATCAAACGAAAAGTGATCCAATATCACCTGTTCAAACGTCCAACTCGTGAATTACTTCAGAGCTTCAACACTTCATGTATAAACGGCATCTAACACAATAAAGTTGGATTACTTGGTAAACGAAGATCAGAGGGAATCATCAGCCTACGCGTGCTAGAATCTAGACGTCCCCTGGCAGTAACCGACATTCTTGTGACATGGCCTGTCCTGTCCACACTTAAAGTTCTGTAATTTGACTTATACCGCTGCACTAAACCTTTTTCCTTTCATGTTTTTTTCTCTTTGTTAACTTTTTTGGACAACTAGGTCTTATATGCAGTGTATTTATTCAACGACCGTTTCAATGGAACCTCTGTCGAATCCTACAAATCCAGCCGCAGGAGCACGAGAATTTCTGAAAACCATTGAGACCAGGGTTGATTTTGCTTAGCCTTAAACCGTGTATTTCATCAGGACTTCTAGACCATGTTGGAGCGCGCATCATTCTCTATTAACTAATCCTCAGCTCATGCACCAGAGGAAAAAGAATGACAGACACAGAACGTGAAGTTTCGATATCAATGTTCAAACCTCAGTACTACTTTGAAATCTCGACGAATTTTCTTTTAATCAGCCATTTTACAGTAATTGCTATAGTATACAGCGTCTCTGCTTTTTGAACGCAACAAATGCCTCGTGGTCAAGCAGAAGGCGTTATCAATAGAATTATCTCTCAGATTGTTCAGGAATGTGCAGCAAATGGAGAGGAAGTTTCAGAGACTTTAGTGGCATTTATAGTTAGTTGATTTAATTTTTGTTCATGTATATTTTGTTCAGGTCAAATCGGTTGTTCTCGATCCAGATTCAGACTTTTTGCCCGACAAACCCCTTGAAAAATACGATGTCCAAAAGCTTTTGCAGGTATGGCAGTTATTTTCTCTTTTCATTACTGGGATATAGATGTGTGTGGAAAAGCTTCTTGACAAGGAGTCACCATCACTGGATACGATCAAGATGCAGGTATACTTCGAGCTGAACCATCTAGAGAGAAGTGAGTTACTTGAAATCACTGTCTGTTCTAAGAGAACATGAATGTAACTGCGAGTCACATACGGTTGGAATATCTAGAAGCGTCTTCAGTTTGTTATAGCATTTCCTACAGTAAGTTAAAGACGCTATTCCCTGCCCTCAAAGACGCTGGAAAAACGCACTATATAGCGCGTCATGCAACGCGTACTGTTGGGGCGTAATTAAGAGCAGCTAACGTTGGGTTGCAACACGGCCTTGCGCGTTTTCCTGCGATTCACCCGAAATGCCCCTTTTTGATTTACTTCGAATTCACTTACTACTCACCAGTTCATATTCTATGGATCTAATATACTCTTATTGCTCCACTCCCATTTTATCGAAAAGAAAGTCATTTGAATATAAACCTGATTATTGACTAATCTGTACATAGAATAGACGTACTATAGTATGTCTTAATAATCGAACCCTTTTCCTTTCTTAAACGCCAATAAAACTCTTGAAATATATATCTACTGTACGTTTGTTAAGTATATAGTCAATTTGGGATTTTTCAGTGCATATAATCTTTTTAGAGACACTTTGGGCTACTATTTAGTAAAACCGCTATTTAAAGAGCGAAATTCCGGCCAAAAAATTCGCGCTGATGTGTTGGCAGGGTTATTTAAATAATAGCAAAATAACTATAATTATTTTCGTTTGGCCACACCTAGAGTATTGCAAGCAAGCTTGACCGTCAGTTCTGAAGAAGGACCGAAAGGTTCTGGAGACGGTGCAGCGAAGGTTCATGCGCATGTTCCCGCACCTTCGGGGCGCGAAATATGCTGAACCTCTTCAGGGGTTGAATCTGTTTTCACTTGAACGACGACGGCTCAATAAGTTCAAGTACTTTGTCCGTGATATTGAGTCAACATGTGTAGCTTCATTAGATTTAGTGATATCTTTCATTGGTAACTTTATTATTTGGCATAAAATCACTTTTCCTTCCAATGGGTAGGAGTATAATTAATTTCGCGATGTTATGTTTCGTGAGAAACTTTCCGCTGTTTTGGTGTTTGTACCATATTACGTGAAAATACCAGAGAAATATCTTTATAATAGGTTTTAACACAGTAATCTCTTTACACAAAAGTGAGTCATGAGTTGTTTGTGCTTACAATCTTGAGGTGTTCATAGAAAGAAAATTAGCAACTGCACATTTTTACCTTTTCCTAAAATTTATTGCTGGTAAGAGAGTTTAATTCGGAATGAAAGTTAATAAAAAGTCAAAGATTCAGTGTTTATGTATGCTGTTCCACATTCTTCTGTATTAATTCTCTTCAGTTAGCACCGCAGAGATTTCTATCTTAGTTGATTCATTAAGCAGTAGTAGATAATGATTATGACGAAAAAGTTCAACTTCAGTACTAATGTAGAACCTAAAAACCGAAACATTTGTTATTTCGAATACATATATATAAAACAGATCAAAGCCCAAACTGCGTGCCTCGCAAATTACTGTACAATACTTTTTATAAGTATGGAAAATCTCATGGGTTGCTTGTGAGCAGAATACTTTTAGTTTCCCAGACCAAAGCAGATTAATTTTTCTGGGTAAGTCCCAACCGATTATAACTCCAAAAGGTGGCTTCCCGTTCTCTCACTCTAGTGAGTAAACACCTTCGCCATAGGAAACCAGTTAGCAGAACTTCTTCAGCAGAGGCTACTTTGGACCCTTGGTCGTACAGGAACGTTTGCGAGGTGAGAGGGAAAGGTGACCAGCTACCACATGAGACAATTGTTCCAGTAGGTGCTCGCTTATCGGTACCGCGGGATAATACGACTATGTCACAACTGATTGTTCGTACGAAAGCAGAAAGAAACATTGCACGAAACGAATAAAGGTGGTATTTTGTAATCCGCCAGAGCCAAAAGAGGAGAGCGGAGCGGAAGCGTGAGTAAGCGTGCGGAAAAGTGAAAGCAACCAAGCGTTGACCAAAGAAGGGGCCTTGGTGTGGTAAAACAATGAGATGCACAAACTAAAGCAAGAGGTAGTTCGTGTCACTATACCCCGACCATAATGAGGTTTTTGAATGCATTTCAGTTTGGTTCTCAGGATTCACTATTAATAACTGCGTTGCTTTTTCTCTTATTTCGCCTCCTATCTTACCGTTTGATAGCCGAATCAATGGGATTAAATAGTAAAGTTGAATTCAACAAGTCAAGTTTATAAAATTACACCATTGACAAAAATGAATAGGTTTGTAAGTTCCATTATTTTCGGGGTTTGACCTTAATAAAATGTGATAAATGCATTCTACGCTAAAATTGACTTGCCCTATTGTCCTCAAATAAAAGAAAATATTTACTGATATTTTGTTATGCATGCTGCCTCAAACCTGTTGTTTTCAGCTGACTTTTTGGCCGAGCATCATCGAGTAATGCAAGCGCGTTTGGAACCAGTCATTCAAGAAGCGATAGATGCTCGAGCACGGACGCGGGAAGAAATGGAGGACGTATATCGTAAAATAATATCTGCTGTTCTTCTACGTTCTGGCTTAGGCTCACCAACAAACGTGGAGGTTGTGAGGGAAACCACGGGTAATTTTCTAGTAACATTTAACAGTTTCTGTATCCATTGGAGTAATGTTTTGGTTACTGAAGAATACTAAACACGTGATTTGTCCCTTTTAGTGAACCATTAGCTCTACACGTATTTCATTTTTCTGTTGAAAATCAAATATCTACCTTCAATATGTAACTTAAAACATTTGATCGTAATCCAAATGGTGAACAAAAACCTTTAAAAGCATAGAATTAGAAGAACTTTGCTATAAATGGCCTCCAAGTTTTAATGCCAACTATCTGACACATAGAGAAACGTATTTAGATCGAGATCTCTGCCAGTTCCCCTGAACGATACAAGACACTTTTCAAATTGCTGGTTTTAACAGCTTATAAGCTTTTGGCTGGCTAAAACAAACATAATGAATTACCTGTAAGCAATTGATGACTTCTGAATGCTGATTGATTCTTTACCGTGTGAATTTTAATAATCTATTAGCTCCATCTAAAATACAGTTTAAAAACATGCTGTGCAAACATAGCATTATGCTAAAATATTCATGGGAAGACGAAATAAATTTTATTTTTCTTATAAACCGTGTAATAAAATATTGATTTGTATTTCATCAAAATATTATAAAAATATGAATTCTGTATTTATTTACCTGACTGAGATAGAAACGCAAACGATTTTGTTAACTACACAAACTTTGAATGAATTTAAAACACAAGAAATTTGACAAAACTTCCGTCCTGTTTGAAATATTTTTGACATTAAACTACTAAATATATGCGTGGAGTGCCAGATTGAAATGGTCACAAACGGTTGAGGTCTCACTTAAGTGTTTTTTCATTGAAAACAAATACTGGTGGACGAATTTGGTGATCCGGGCCAACAAGATGACGCGTACTCTGGAGCGACGCGTTACAGTTTTAGGACAATTATGATCAATCAAACTTCACGGGTGACGTCAGCAAAGCGCATACGCGTCACTGCTTTTGGACTACATACCATAGGTAGATTGTACCAGACCGTACGACCCAGACAGAAGCAGAACGACGCCAGAAATACTGGAACGCGATTGGCAGAAGCCTGGATGACCCATGAGCATGTTTTTCTTGCATATTATTTAATCTCCCTTATTTCTTCCAATAAACGAAGTATTCCTCTTGTGGTCTTTTCCTCGCGTCTCCGTTACTTGGGACATTGCGTACAAGTGCCAGTGCGGCCCAGCGCTTACGTGATTTATTCTGTGATTGTTAATGCTTGATTCGTATTCCGTGTTCCGTATTGCGTGATTCATATTCCGAGTTCAGTGTGTACTGCTACTACCATTACCACAACTACTACAATGAAACAAGCCGCTTTTCGATAAATTTTTCAAATAGACAGCACAATTATACTAGGCTTATTCGTGTTGTTTGATTTGATTTTGATCGCATCACAAACCCAAACTATGCAAACAACGTGAATGAGTGATTGCATTAGTGTCACCTTGGTGAACAGTCCCCTTCATCGAGCATGTGTTGGCCATTGTCTTCGTCCTATGTACGCAGAGCATGTTGTGTTTATCTAACTAAACCTCTTGCCGGTAGGCCATTGATACAGCCCCGGGAGTGCATTATTGGATTTCCTTAGTTGAATTGGCAAAGCCCGGAAGAACTGCTTCTGATTGCAAGGGAGAGGGGTCAAATATTTGGATAGCGATTACCTCGACTGTACATAGAATGAAAAGGGGTTATTTTTATGGTAAGAAAGGAATGGAATAAATTATGCTGAAAGCTTAATCGAAATTAAATAGGTACAGTGTCTGGAGTGTGTGTTGCTTGGTAACACTTTTCACTTTCCTTTTTTCACCAGCGGGGGTGCTGTACACGTATCTTCTTTGAGAGCTGCCTGTTAGTCGGGTCAATGTAGCTCAATCAGCACTGTGGTATAATAGATCCACTATTCACTAACTTATCAATTACTCATTATTATGGCCTTTTGGAGAGTATGTAAATATCCTAAAGCATTTCAAACATTTCTGATTATTTCTTCCGAATATTTCTCAAACTCATTTCTTTTAACCTGAAATCAACTCGCAGTTCCCAGTTCTAAAGGACAAGCTAATAAATGGGATGAAGTTCCTTTAGGGTAGGAGAAACGGCTACAGACATCGATTTAAAGTCCAATTCGCATTCAGTTAGGGTTTTGCACGATATTGCGAGTCGAATCAACGCACTGCGTTCTGTTTGTACGAAAATTCTTAAGATTAACGCCTCGAAATTAGTTGTTTTGTTTGATACCTACCGGTCGTGTCCAAATCGCAGGTTTATTCTTTGCCATTTTATAAAACCCAACTAAAAGCCACTGGCATTATTGTAACGTCTTAAAAGAATACGATGCATTGAAGTACTGATACTAAGTATGGACAAAGCCAAGACATCTAATATTTCTCCTATAAGTAAGTGCGTGTTGTGCATACTAGACCATAGCATTGAACTCCATTCACCAACTGAAAAATAACAATGGTTTGACTACCTTCATGTTAACTGTTTTTACGGTTGTATAGTCGAATTTTGAGAAGGAGGTTTCAGACCATGGAAGTCTGACTGTGATTCAAAAAATGAGCTGCCAAAGCGGGGTCCGAACACGCATCTACTAGTGTTATAATTCCAAAATGCGGTGCTGGTCGAGGATGTTCGCCGTCTATCGTGCTCACTTGGAAATACGCCTCTGTCGTTGCTCATCTCCTGCAACATGTTCATTGGGATCTTCTTTATTCGGATTCTACTTCGCCATTTAGGATGTAGCTTTGCTGCTTCAGGGTCATCGATACGGCCTCCGACATGGTGCTTGTACGCTGTTTCGGGTGCTTTTAGAAGTGCAGTTGGCTTCCGCTGCACCGTTGTTTTTAACTTGCTTGTCGCTTTGTTTTGCTTGTCTGTTGTAGTCTCCGTAGAGAAAGTTGGATTTGTTTTGCTGTCAGCTTGCGGCTGGCGTTTGTCAACTGTCTTCACTGCCGTATTCAAAACTTCTACCGACTCAGTTGACTGAGGTTCCGCTATATACACTGCAGAGCATGTGTCAAACATGGCACATGCCCTATCTCCATATGGGTCCGAACTGAACGATAATAATTCGTTCCGCAGGGAACCTTGTCCGAGGACAACGATTTGCACGAAATCACGGGTTCTCTTAGGAACCACTTGCGCTGTGTTTCGGAGCAATTTTTCAGCCAGCACTCTGGATCTTCGAGCTCAAAATTCCCATTCTTAAGAGCCCTCTGGTTTGAATCTGTTCAGATCGCTGCCACCTCCGCTGGTTTCTTGAGCGTTTTCGTACTTCTAATAAGCTGGCGTCCAGGATCTTCGGTTGACTGGACAGGAGTGAATTTCCTCCAGGTGAATTCTCTCAGGACATCAGCCATTTTGAATACATCCATGGTTTTCTGAACATCAATTATCAATGCTTTCTCCTGCAAGTCCTCTGGCAAGCTCTCCATGAGGCGATCAAGCAGTGAATCCGAATGCGTGGCATCATCCAACGTTGGGAGTGCACGATTGAACAGGGTGCGCAAAGTCACGGTATGCGACAAGGGGTCCACGCCAACTCCGAGCTGCGCCGTCCTGAAGCTCCGGAATGCCCGCTGGCGGTCGGCCGGGGTGTCAAAACCCGCAATCAGGGCATCCTCTGCGGAGGCTCACTCCATCTTTTCGGGGCCCCTTTGTGCCGCATTCAACATTGCCTGCGCCCGGCCCTTGAGAAGCGCTCGGAGGGCCGTCAACTTACCTCGGTCCGACCGTATTCCCGCCAGCTCCGCGACGTCCTCGAATACCTCCAGGAACGCCCGCGCGTCTCCATCCTCGGAGAC